AACAGGAATTTCAATTTCCAGGGCTGTCAATCTTGCATGCTTTCCAGCACTGGATTCCACCATATTTTATAAAGATGCAATCTGAAGCTGACTGAAAAATAATTCAAATTCCTTCAGTAGTGTTGCCAAAGGACTTGCAGAGCAAACAGATTATACATATTTTAATGTACACATTGCAAGTATAAAAATCTGTGTCATGTGAAAAAAAAATATATATATAAATGCACTAAACTTGGTTCAAAAGCATCAGCAAAAAGGTCTCAAAACGGTTCTTTTCTACAAATTCTTTTGACATTTTCAATCAACATATAAAAGAGAAAGCAACCCATGGGATTTCAGGAAAATGAGATATATCTGGAATAATTAAAGGCAGCATCTCTATTGCAAGGAGTGTGACCTGAAGGARGGCAGTTGTGCCAGTGTGGGGGAGGGAAGATGAACCTTACCCCTAACTAGAATTTTAAGCACAAGGAAAAAAACAGAGAGATTAAAATTATAAATCAAATACCATTTAGTTTCCCACCAGGTGTTAAAACCCTGCTTCTAGATGTCATTAATCTCAGAGATTTAACTGGCTTTAATGGGAAGAGTCTCATTCCCYGCAGCAAGAAACAAAGCATCTTCCATTAGGCACAGTGACCTCATCCATCCCTCTTTGATCCTTCCTCACCTCATATGCAGATTCAAGCACGGCACAATCCATCACTTGAGTACAAAGCTGTTTGCAGCTCAGTGATCTGCACTTAGGTTACACACCAGCCACAAAGTTTCCTAAAGAGAATGAGACTCCTTCGACTCTGAAATTGCTGTTGCTGCTTTGACACAATGCAGGTTCCTTTTAACAAAGAACTTCTACTAATAATAATTTTTTCATTTTTATGATTCATTTGTTAAAATTCCAGAGATCCCTCACAAGGGGAAACTTCTCATCACTACACACACAGGGCCAAAAGGAAGACATCAGAAGAGTTAGAAGCCCAGGAAGAACTTTTCTTCATAAATGGATGAGCTCAAAAAATTAGGTGGGTAGGAAAATGGCTGACCTAAGCAATACTTAAAATTGGTAATAACTTATGTAACATTCCTCTTCCTCTTTCCCTTTCAACTGCTCTTATTCTGCAATTCCCATCCATTTATCTAAAACCTTTATCTCCTCTTCCTGCAAGAAAAATAGTCTTTCCTCAGTACTGTACATCACTATTTGAAATTTTCATATCATTTTTGTCATAGCAAATTTTGACCATGTTACTTGGGAATTCTGAGAGTCTCYATTTCAGCTTCCTTAGACTAATTTTTGTTACTGTTCTAAAAAATTTCATTTTTGCCAAGAGCAACTAGCCTCTCTGACCTAAAGAAAAAAGGAGTTTTCTTCTGAGCTTTTTGATTTCAAGTCCCTTTGGAAAACTTCCCAGAGGAAATACAGATACTGGTACAGGAATTTGTATTGCATATGCAATATTAATACTTGCATGGATCCATCCATAAAACACTGATGGAAATTCAAATACACTGATTATTTCATTCCCAATATCTGCTCCTCTCTAAGCTCCTAAAATTCTGTTAATTCTTCAGAACTTTATTCAATAGCTTCTCAACCTTGCTTACAACTTTTCATTCAATTCCTTCAGATCAAATTACCTGTTTTCCTCTAATCTTCTCCTATGACCATCTTCCTTCCAGTAACCTTATCTGTTCCAGCCATTTCAACTGCTGTCATTATGAAACTCTGTCACTTCTTGCCATTCCTCTTTGATCATGATAACAGAACTCCAGCACTGAGCTTCTCAAGCTAGTTCACAAACACAAAAGTATCTCCAAATTTATCAGTATTTTCTCATTCTCTTTGTACTTCCTTTGGACTTTGCCATTTCACCTTGTTTATCTCTCCCCTCAAAGTCTACTGTCTCTACACCAAAAAGGGTGGCACTAGAATTCACAGATTGAGAAAAGGTGTTCTGGTAATTCCTCGCTCCCTGACAGAATGTACAGGGATCACAGTAAACAGAAAACTGAGAGTTTTGGACTAAGAATTGAATTCTCAAAAGAAACAGCTTGAACACATTAAAACAGATGTAAGTGTAATTTATCAAGTGCCAAAGTAAGATTAAAAGAATTTATCCCACAATGAGGGAAAAGTCTCCAGGCTCAGTGGGAGACCTCAAATTACATAACAGCTTAGCATTTTTAAAAACAGTGTTAGCAACAGAGTTCTCTGGGAGTGCACCCTGAAACCTTACTGTTTATAAAATAGCATGTAAGAACCACCACAGTGGGTCAGACCGGCTGTTTAGCCAAACTGAAATGACAAAACCAACTCAGATAAAACACCCAGCCTGACCTGCTACTCTGTCTCCAGAAGCAGTTAAGAGCAGATGTTTAGGACAGTCATATACAAAAATTCTCTCCAATCTCACCAAAACACTCTTCCACAATTCCCAGCTCAGTAATTTTCTGATCCAGGGGTAATACCTTTGTTTGTCACCTCGGGCTTTTTTGTCTCCTCTTTTTTCCCACCTCCTTTTCCAACTTTGTTCAGAATCACTTTATACCCATACAGCAGACAAAGCATGCTGTGGCAAGGAAATTCAGAACTGACTAACACACTATGCAAAAAAGCCAAAACAAAACACTTCTTTTCCTAGCTTTCAAACTGTTCCCTGCCTCTTCCACCTCATCTCTCTTCTAATACCAAGGTAGCTGGAAATGTGTATTCATTTCCCATACACACACCTCACAGCTCCAATGATTTTATAGACATCTACCATTAGCGTAGCCACTACTGCTTTTCCTGTCTGGAAACTCTCATTTAGTTAGTTGTTCTGGTGTGGATGTTGCTCCATGGATGTCTTCTGCATCCTGCTGCTCTTCTTCATTCTTGTTGCCCTTTTCTGAAACTTTTCTTGTTCTACTCCTCTTGTTCTGAGATAAGGAGGCCAGGACAGCACACCATATTTGAGACACAAACACGTCACAGATTTAGAAAGTGGTCAAATATTTTCACTTCTCTCCTTTCAGAGCAATTCCTGATCTAAATTTGCTTCTTGATTGCCACTAAAATATAGAGCTGATTTTTTTCAAGAAATTGTTGCTTTTAGTCCCAAGACCTCAAGCTAACTCAAAGAATTTTAACATTACTGAATTTCTTCCATCATTTTAATGGCCACTTGGTTTTATGCAGTTCTTATGCATTTTTTCAGTCTGCCCCCTATTTGTTTACCTTCTTTTGTTCTGAATAACTTAGTTTCAGAAACCCGCTTTTGTCCCAAGTCACTTATGAATATAAAGTACCCCTGGGCACTCACAGAGATATTTATGGAAATCCACTGGTGATTTCCAACACATTTTTCTCCTGAAGTTTTTTTTCCCTACCATTTAACCAATTATCTACACAGCTGGTAGCCCTCCTCCTTAACCTCTGCCTGCTTAGCTCCTTTGAAAAAATTTCAAGAGAACTTTGAATACAAAATGCCTTTTCAAAATTTAAGTAGAACAATACATCCAATGATGTCTTTCATCTGCCTGCCAGCTGTCACCTGCAAAAGACCACAGCATTTTAGCAAGATTTACTTCAAATCACAAAAATGCTGGCTAGAGAGGATCTCTGGGAGTCACCCAGTCTGACCAACCCCTAGATTAGGTCAGCCGTAGCACTGTCCAACAGAGCTTCAAAGCTCCCTCACAGGGAGAGGTGCCATCCCCACCACAGCTCTAGATAATTTTATTCAGTGCTGCACTACATTCCTAGAAAAAAAGCTTTTCCTACTATGCCTAATCAGAACATTTCAATTTGCAATCCGTGTACATTAACCTCCTGTTACATGGTTTGCCACAACCAGGAACATTGACTCCATCATCTTTGTGAGCATCCTTCATGTAGCTAAAGGCTAATATTAACCAGTTCACCAGTTCTTAAATATCCTCTTAATCAGACTTTTATTCACAGGAATAATTTCTTTCTCAGTATCTCCACTGTAATACTCAATGTCCTTTCTAAAACAGAGGTACTAATCTAATTTTTTTAATTAATTCACTCAGTTTTAACTAGAGGTCTATTGGTTTATAGACTCCCTGAGTCCATGAATGCTTTCTGAGACATGGCATCAAATTAGACATCTTCAAGTACTCAACTGCCGAGACACTCAAAAGCAAGTGGCTTCATGCAACAGTCTGTAGCTGGTCTGTTTCACTCCACCATTCCTAAAAAACCTGGGTAAACTACATTTGGACCCATTCAACTGAGAACATGCAATTTGCTCCACAATTTTGCCTACAAATGCTTCCAGCTGAGAAAGGCAATCTCCTAAGCCTCCCACATGAAGGGTTTCTAAACAGGAACCATCCTACACTTTTCAGTGGTGAGCACATACACACAAGACTTACACAGTTTTCTGCCATTGATTTATCTCGGATCGTTCATTTCAAAGTGTCATCATACACAGGCCACACAGACTCTCCAGCTGACTTCCTGCTCTTGGTGTGGCAGAAAAATGCCTTTATTAACTTTCTGTTTAGCCTGATAGGARAATGTTTTGGTCTTATATCCTTTTYTGAATACAGACACAGCTTTTTTTAGGATCTGTCCTCTTGTTTTTAACAGCCTCCTCTACCTTGTCATTTAGCTATGTGGGCTTCCTTTTCCTAAGACGTTTTTAGACTGACGGTAAGCATTTGTGTGCAGCCTCCAAAACAGCATCTTGAAATAGTCACCTACAAAAATGTTACTCTTACAGTTATCCTTTCAGTGTCATTTTAAAAAAAGTACCCCATTTTTAGCTAGTTTCCCTTTTTGAAGTTGAATGTAATTAAGAGAGGTAAGAAGAGAGAATTGCAGGTTCTCTTTCATTCCTCCCATTTCCATTTGTTGAATTTCCTTAGCTTAGGGAAAAGAGTCARCTGTAATGGTCTACAAAGTCCTATCACAAGTCTTTTTCCCAGACATCATCTTACAGTCTCTCCACGACATCATCTACCAACAGAACAAAATACAGTCTCTCACCCACCTTTCAGTCACCATCCCTTTGTAATCATGCACTGCCTCTGTTCAGCGTTGTGCACAGCCAGAGTGGGGTCCTGGGTCTACCTTGGAGGCTCCTAGGAGTTAAGGAAACACAGAAGGGAGATAATAGGTATTGAGGAGACAGCTCAGCAGCATTTCTCAGGCATTTATAGCAGACATAAAACACGTCTCACAAGTCAATAAATTAAAAATGCAAGGCACTTTAACTACATAGTGTGAACAAAAACCAAATGGAAAGAGATAGACAAGAAAAAAAAAAAAAACATTCTTTAAAATATCTGGCAGCTTGGGGTGAGAAACAGAAGAGAAATATTTGCTGCAGAATCACCAAAATCCATGAGACATTAATTTGAAAACAATCCTTACCACAAAATTTTGCCTTGGTGCCTTAACATCAATAAAATTAAACATGCCTAATACATGGACTTCAATCTGTCCCTGAGTGAAATCCATGACAGAATTCAGATGGGTAAAATTTCAGAGTTCTTCCATCGTCCCATAAAACATAAAGTTCAAGAGGAACATTAGTTACTGTCTAATATCTCAAAACAATACAAAAGGCATTTTCAAGAAAGAGATGCGTCATTAAGCCCATTTCAACACATTAACCCATCTTGCAGGAATGACAAATATAAACATTCAAAAAATTATCTCTTGCTTTTTTTTTTATTGAAACAAAGAAGGTGCTGCTAATCAATCAAGTTGTATCTCTACTTGAAACGGCAAGACAGGAATCACACAGCAGTTTCCTGCTCTCAACACCTCAAGRAAAAGGCACTTCATAAGAAAAAACAGTAGTAGTCTGTCCAGTTTAAGCATTCRTTTCCTAGACTGAGAACGTCTGTGGAACAGAACAAATACACCAGCAATCAACAGTTCACCTTTGAACCTAAACAGAGACATGAGGCAAAAAAGGAGTCATTGTTCCACTCTGTTTACCCACTTACACAAAATGACTGTACTAGATGACTGGAAGTGTTTGTGATTTTTTTCCAGTTCTTTCCTGAGCTATGAAAGTCTCAGGAAATCTGCCAGATGCATAAGCATAAAAACTTTTGKAAACATCATACGAACAAGAAGAACTGTCCAGGTTAGACAACAAAGATTCAGGTTTATGTTCACCACATCGAAATTTCTCAAGGATCTCAAGTTCTCCCTATCATCAGGTACTTCAGATTATAATTTACAAGTTTTCTCCTAAATTAAGAATTTATATCATATGTGCACATATACACACCCCTCCATGAAATTCAATGACRTCAAATTTGGCTGTAGAAGTTGCCAAAAGCAGATTTAGATGGTGTTCTCCATGGCATAGAGATCAATCAAAGCTACAAGATAGAAAGTCACTTTCAATTTCATAGTCCAAGGTGGTAGGAGAAGCTTATATTTTCAAGAAGACATTGCATCACCTWTTTTTTGCCTCCCACTTTGCAGAAAGGCAAGGACAAATTTAAAACTTGGAAGAGGACCAAATTCTGCTTTTCATACTACTTTGTACCAGAGAAAAACTGAACACCTCAGCACTCAAACTACCCGTCACCGGYGCATGTTGATGACAAACTACTCTGAGACGTTCAGTCTGTCAAGTAATTAATTATAACTGTTACCATGCAGTAACTTCTACRGACAGCTACAAGCAGCCCATCTCCAAAATGCAGTGTGCTAGTGATTTATGTATGCACTCACTACACCAGAATGAGRAGCTGAATGATTAGACTTTGAAACATTACAAAGAAGGCAGTATACCTCAATTTTCCAAAACAAGCCTAACAGCACTAATGCTTTCTGTAAGCACTTCACCCTGCCCACTGTCCCACCACCACTCACTCACAGTTCTTATTTCTAAATAAACATATCCGATGTTATTTGATCACAATAAAAGCTTTAGCAAGTTTACTTTTATTCTAATCTTAATAATTACCTAAACAAAACTGGAAAACAGAATATGAATCCATCTTACTGATTCAGGGAAAACGTGCACACACAAAAGCTARTACATAAACAATAGATTTCTACAGATTCACATCTTGCTTCCCTTACACTTCTTCATATGGCAACCCTGCTGCGCCTGTGACTGTGGTCGCACTCTCATCAAGCACAATACTGTGCATGGTGGTCAGAATTACACCAGAAACTAGCCTGGGTATCCACCAATTTAAGCTAAAATTAGGCTAACTCAGACTACACAGCCCACACCAAACCAATCTTRCAGAAGCTGTAAATAAAGCCACCAAAATCAGAAGTCTGACTGCAAAAAAAACCCCATCATTTATTCTACTGGGAAGCAYGTAAYCAWGTTTTAGTTTACTTTTGCTTTGGTTTAGCATCAGTCCATGTCTCTGTCTCCCATTCTTTCCTTTCAAAATGACTTCTGGAACTGATGATCAGTTTCAGTCTAACACAAAAAATTCCATGAAAATGGTCAGGAAAAACAACAGACAAACTCACTTTCCAAACAGCTGTTTGTCCCTACTCTCAATGACAAACACAGGTACACAAGAGTGGAATTCAGCCATGGTACATTCCATTTTCCAGAAGCCCACTAATTTAAAAGAATGGGGCAGTGGAGCAGAGGGGTGGACTTTGGATAAAACCATTCACAGGTGGAAGGTTTCCTGAAATCTTCACAAGATTTAAAGTCAAACACATGGGAGTGCTGATTCCTGCTGCCATGAGTATATGGCAGTAAAGTCATTGGTATGACCAAGCCATGTGATTAAAATTGGCAGGGGCACCCAGGAGACTGCACATGTAGTTAGCACCCTTCTCTGTGATTTGGGTGCAGGCACTGTACTCACATCTGCCTACTGCACTTGAAAAGATATTTGGCTGCACACTGGATTGAGCAAAGAAACAATCACAGCACGTCTAGACACCACGGCTCGCTGGCACGCCGAGGCTCCCCACTCGTGTAGCTGCAAAGCCCTGCTCAGGCAGTGCGTCACAGCTGAGCCTCACCTCACCCAGCCAGCTGTGAGCTTGTCYGGGCACTCAGGATCTTCACACAACRCCTAATGACAACCCCTGCTCACCCCACAAGGCAACAAAATGCACGGGTGGGATAAGAACATGCCAGCTCCACACGGTTTCACCAGCCAGCCTTGGCTTTTGCTCCACAAAGTTGACAACCTGAGTTAAGGAAGCTGCTCCAAGTGACATTGGGTGATGTGAGTGGAGCTGATGTAGAAGTGTCAAGGACACCAAACAGATGGGGCTTTCMCCCACTTCAGTGTTCTTACCCTCTATACACAGGAGAACTGAACAAATATAAGTAAACTTCATATCATGCTTAAAATACTATTGAACACATTGTTTGCTTTTGTTGATACCTAGCAAGAGAGAAAATCGTGTCAAAACTGAAAGTGTATCAAAGCTGAGAAGAAGAGAGGAAAACAAGAGTAGGAATAAAAAGATAAAAATACTCTCCTTCCTCTTCCTCTCCTCCAAAACATGACATCATTATGCAAATATATCCTACTTTCAGGAATCAATCAAGGATGAAGGGTTACAACTGCAATCCACAACCRTGTGTTCCTTCTACAAGCACTAACATTTCCCCTTATGATACATGCTAGCCTAACATTACTACTTATCTCTCTCTTCATGCTGAAGAGGGAAAAATATCTCATTAAATCCAGCTTATTTGTTTGACTAAAGAATGCACATGGAAAGATGGCAATTATTAAGCAKAATCTAAGCATAAGGAACATGAAAGAAATGGGAATAGCCTTATAAATCTGCATTTTGTTTATATGCTTTCCAAATCACAATATTGGGCAGAGTAAACTAAAATAAAATAAATGTAGGAATTTTTAGGAAGAAAAAGCATAACAAATGAAAAGCCTGTAACATCCTTGAACATGTCCCAGCCACCACTGCTTGAGGCCACRGAACCAGCGCACACAAACACCTCCCAAACAGACAGACACCTGCAGACAAATACTGCAAAGTGGAAGCTCAGTGCACACAGGGCTGCACACACTCCTGCTTCACGTGCAGGGCTGGGAAACTTCCAGGTCTTGATAAGTGTCTTCTGGCTCAACTCAGAAATTACATCCGAGCAAAACAGGAGCAGTCCCAGGATTCTCTTCAGTTCCAGCATCGCTCTCRCCTTGCTGAGCACAGGCTCAGCTGTTCAGTCATGAGCAACTGTGGATGGACTCACAGGGCTGCGTGCAAATCATGTAAGCAATAGATCTGATTCATGCCGAGTTTGTCAGGCTGACCCCATAGGCATGGTAAACTCAACACAACCAGAACAGTCTCCATTAGGACAAAATAAGAAGAAATGTAGGACTGGAGTGCCAGGACAGGAAATATATTGCTCACRGAAAAGCACAGACCAGAGTATGTGAAGACACCAATCAGCCAGAGTTCTCTGGATGAAAATAATAAAACAGAATGACATAACATTTATTTGGTTTTGCAGGGATTTGACTAATAATAACAACTCATTTGAAGCCACTGAACTTGCCCTGCTACTTGCTTTAACTCCATCCAGGTCAAAGTGACAGGACATGTTAATGTACATTTAACCTTTTAACTAGCCACCACAGATTTATAGTCCAAGAGCAGCACTCAGAACTTCCAAAAACCCCACCACRATCCCAAAATAGTCATTTTTAAAGTATAATAAATTATTAAGACTGCTGACAGAACAAACAGTATTACCTTGTTTAAAATGTTAAAGCTGGAGAAAAACAGTAATAAAAGAGAAATTATTGTGGTCTTGCTCGCACTGAAGTCATGTTTTTCATGAAGACTTCAAAGAGCAGGGAAAACATGGCCTTTATCCAACTTTCTGCAAACTACACAACTGAGTAATTTTATTTAAAATAAATCAGTAMTGATACAACTCTGATCTCCTTGAGTTTGACAGCAAACCTCCTGAAAATATTTATTCTTGAGTGAGACATCATTTATMCTTGCGCTTTTCTGGTCTTTGACTGGAGTCTATAGGACACTATATGTGGTATGTTTCCAATGGTATTGCTAACTACATGTCTCCAAACTTTTACATGGTCTTCTGAACCTGAATTTCACTGGTTTGATGAGCCACGCAGACTTTTCC